GAGACAGTATATATACATATTTAGTAATTTTGATGTGTTGCTTTTTTTATTACATTCTATTTAAAAGAATCCTTTCATCAAATTTGTATTATATCATTGACTTACAATTATTGCATCCCAATCGCATGAATAAATATTGACGTTATGACTCCAATGAGATCCAGCGTAACAGATAACTAACAAAAATTATCATTAGTTGTATGTTATTTTCTTTGCTTTAGATTATCTCCGCACACTTCTTGGTCATCTGAATTATCTACCCGAGCAATACCAAGAATTTCTACAAGATGCTACTGATTGGTGCAACCAAAACTTTCCTGTCAATCAACGAGGAAACCAATATATGCGACTTGAAGTAATGATGCTCCAAGCCAAAAAAAACTAAATTACTGAAGATCAGATAAATAGCCTGAGAGCCGCACATTTCAGTTATCACAACGGAGGTCTCTGTATAGGACCATACTGTACCTATATGAATTTAAATTAAGCTTAGACTTACGAGACTAAATTACTATGGCGCCATTCATTCTGAATTTGTTGGCCTGCAGAATTTTAGAAACTATTTTTGATTAATATATTTTCAATATATATGTGAAATATCCCTAATACCGAAATCAATACATACTATTCACAACCACTGGTTCACCAAAATATGAATGACTGGGTGTATAATCTAATTCATATATTTTACAGTAGACCCTTAAGTTGGTTGGTAATAAATTTGAGGAAACAAATAGTAACTGCAAACTTGGCAACAATAGCATCAGACAGAAAAAAGATGGAAAATGTTAGAGGAGGGCTTCACACAGCAGTGGGTGAAAAAGCCTGATGATGACGATCATCATCATGATGGAATAGTAGTTACAGCAGTTACAGTGGTAAATTATCGTAAATCAACAAACAACCTCCCCTTGATAACAATGATTTCAAAGATATATTGACAGTGTTAAAGTAAATATAAGATTAGATTTAACAGCCAAACTGTTTTAACATTAGTAAATTACTGCAAACATTTTATTTTGTTACTAAACCAAGATGGACCTTTCCGCTAATCCCCGCCCCTTGGATACGGTTGCTAAGATTCCGCAAAACGACAGCATAAATTAGTTAAGCCCTGACAATTGGATATGATGGCTATGATCCCGCATAACATACGTGCTTCTTGTAAGTACGTGTTATTAGCCCTGTTCTGATTGGTTCATAAGCAGGGCTTATTTAAACCATGGAGGAAAAACCTATGTTTAAACCTGTAAATAGGCTGAGAATGAGACTATTCAATGCCCATCTCATATGGTAAATCTATAAAATATATAGAAACATGAATTTGAGTTCTTATGTTTAATAAACAAGGTCATAAAATGTCTTATACATTTCAAGAAAATATTTGAAAATAGCACAGGTAGGTAATTTAGATGATCAACAAGTGCCTGTTAAAAAAGAAATCATATTCTACTACCTATTGACTTATAAATCAATTTATAAATCAATCAATTTTTATTAAAATTATTTTGTACAGTTGAGGGTGGATAGTGCCATAATGACCATTGACCTAGTATTCTAGTGTCTTGCAGTGTCGGAAATCAGTGACATCAAGAGGCAATAATTTTCTCTATAACAACATATCATACTTGATATACAAATCAATAATTTTTAGTTAAAATATATATTTTTTTTCAATAGTAGTAGTGACTATTACATACCTAGTCAATCTTTCCCAGTCATCGAGCAGATTTCCTGAAAAATGGAAATGTCCTAAAGTTTTCCCTATATTTAAAAGTGGTGATAGAACCAAGGCCAGTAATTACAGGCCCATATCAAATTTACCAATTCTTTCTAAGATAATTGAAAGGGTTGTTTTCTGTCTCTTATACACATCTAGATGTGTATAAGAGACAGTATGACTCCAATGAGATCCAGCGTAACAGATAAGAATATCATATGAACGGCCCAGGTCCTGGAACGTTGTCAACGCAATTGATTGTGGGAAGTACATCGGTTTAGTTATGCTAGATTTGAAGAAGGCATTTGATACAGTGGACCATGCCATTCTTATAGAGAAACTCCATTCTTTCAAACTTGATCAAAAAGTTATAAATTGGTTTAGAAACTACCTTTGTGATCGTACACACCTGACCCAGGTAAATGGAGTTCAATCAAGTCTATGTAATAGTGTATGTGGAATCCCTCAGGGATCAATTTTGGGTCCTCTGTTATTTACATTATATGTGAATGATCTACCAAAGCATGTAAATAGTGTACAAATTAGTATGTATGCAGAATGCATTCGTAAAGAGTTTTCTTTTTGTGAAATCATCAACATAAAAAAGATAATCTGAACATGAAATACTACTTTTGAATTGAACATAATAATTCATTATTGATGAAGACATATTTTCTGAATTAAATTTCTGGTTTTCGATGTCAGATAAACGTAAAGCAACTTTAGAAAGTAATGTATTTTTGTCTTCGTTACCCTGTGAGAACCAAGTATCACCACAACCAATACGACATAGTAGATGTTAGACATGATGCACCCAGCATATTTCATTTCTTTCGGTTTTTCTAAGTAGAAAATTATAACATTGAAAAATAAAATTCTAGATTGGTCAGTAATTAATAAATGTAACCAAAATTTGATGACATTAATGTAACAATAAACAGATAATGAAAATCTTAATAGTGTATGTGGAGGAATCCCTCAGGAATCAATTTTTGGGTCCTCTGTTATTTAAATGCGAATGATCTACCAAAGTATGTAAATAGTGTACAAATTAGTATGTATGCAGATGATACAGCTCTTTACTTTGCACACCATATTTAAACACATTATTTAAACCTAGGGAAGAAAAATACCATACAAAATCTAATGATGTCTTGTGTTTGGAAAAACCCAAAACGGAGTACAAAAAGCGAAGTTTTTTGTATCGTGGTGCCAAATTATGGAATAGTCTTGAAAGTGCAGTTCAAAATGCAACAAATGTTTATTCATTTAAACAGTTATTACCCAGTGGTGTAGTGTAAGTTTTTAAATTTGTTTGTTTGTTTGTTTGTTTTTCAAAACTGTTTAGTTAATGGTGTTAATCTTTTCAGTATTTCATCAATATCACGGCCTTGTAGAAGAACACCTTCAGGTAATGCAAGCTTTTCCATGTTTAAACAAAGCCTATTATTATATTATTGCTGAATAATCATTGACCCAGTATATGGTAATAAGGTTATATATTATATACTATAGTATCTTGCCAAGTGGAAGTCCAAAATCAAACATTAGGAGGCCTATAATTGATTGATTGAAGAAACAGAAATATCAGACTCAACTCCGAGACAAAAGAAAATGAAAACCACTGATATTCGAACAGATCAGTATTTTATGTAATGTAATTAAAGTAGTCAATATGCTATGGTTTCCACAGTTGTGTGATTAAGTTCACCTTGCGACAAAAAATCTAATCAACAGTAAAAATTGTACAGTAGATAGGTATTTTTATTACTCTCTCTACCTGCACACTATCATTGTCCAAGATTGGTGATAAGTATAAATATTTACCAGTTAGTTGGATGAATTCTAATCGATTGAAGTGAAAAACTGAAGTAATATTTAGATCTATAAATGAATTAATCTTTAATCAGAGGCTATTCATATTTACATACAATATAATTAAATTAAATCAACATATTTACATATTCAAATATGATATCGATTTCACAATTTGGCACTCTATGAATTCAATTCAATATTTTATTTTCATCATAACAAACGAATGCTCAGTACTCTCTGTCTTAACCTTTATTTTAACTACCAAAACTGAACTACAAACATGAAATGATAGAAATGGCAAAATGGATAGAAAGTAGTAGAATGGTTGATGTTGATGGACGGGGGTAATCCCTGGACCTACTGTTGGCACTGGTTTCAAAAAATATCTTCCCTGTTTCTACAACAATTTTCATAACAGTCACAGTTTGCTCCTACATATTTCAGTTCAGTCATCAGAAAGTCTGAAAGATAAAAACAGCTATGGATGATAATATTAAAAACAATTAAAACAAGCCAAAAATACCACATTATTATTGTAATTTATTTCAGATAATGTATACTGCCACCAAACATAAAAAAGAATAAAAAAATGAATTACGTATTTGTAATAATCACGTTCTCGAAAAAGTACCTCTTATGCATAAGCACCGCACTAATCCTCACTTTCTTTTTAAAAGAGCTGCAGTGCTTATTTCATCATTTATACTAATAGCAGTGCCTCGGCTGAGTGGATAGTTAATTTTACATATTTTACTTTGTTGCCGACATCTGAGATAGTCCCACATTCAATTTTATCATTAATTATTTATATTATGTAATTTTATGTTGTTGTTTGATTGAAATTGTCGTCATTCATATTTTGATAGAGGGCCCCAGAATATCAGCTGGCCTTCCAGGCACAGTTGGAAGGGTTAACCTCTCAGTTAAAATTTAAAAAAATAAAAAAAACCTGGGGCAACTATTTTATACTTACTTCCAATTGGCAAAACATCTCCAAAAAATATAAGCAGCTCCTGGTACATGTCACAAAAAGCAACTGATATTGTAAATTTATCAATGAACAATGTTGAAATAAGACGATAATAGCTCCTCTCCCTCGGCGATGTCTCGCAAAGAAACTAATACAATCGATCAAAGAATTCTAGAAAGTAACATAAAGAATGTTGCACTCAAATTTTGTTATGTAAAAACAGCCAGGACTAGAACATGAAATTAATCACATGTTCACTCACGAAGGTGAGTGGGAAGGGGATTGATGGGGAAAGCAATGTGAGTGGTGTCTGAACGATCAAGTGAGGGGCGTCTGCTAGCATAATAAGGTTATATGTGGTGATTTTAAATTGCTTGAGTGAATTTTTTGCTTTGAACATGTTTAATGAGGGATCCCTCAGCCACGATTGGTAAGCAAGCCACGAGTTTCTCAACTAAGGCTATGTTCTCACACGGCAGCTAACGGTTAGCAGGATCCGGATCCAGCTAACGGTTAGCAGAATCCGGATCCTGCTAACCGTTAGCTGCCGTGCATCCATGCGAGAAAATCCAGAGAAAACGGTTAGCGCTAATGGTTAGCTCCCAATCCGGATACTAGGGCTCTCGTTAGAACCAGGCATTAGTCTACTTGATAGATGACCCCATTTATACGTTTAAGTAAACCACAATTATGGTTTCTAAAGCATCAATAAGATTATATCAGTCATTCAATTGCAAATACACCATTACAATTCTTAACCTTACTTTGCTTTGTGACCTACTGAATTTTACTAACATTATGTTGTTCTTTTTAATAATAAGCAATTCAAAATTTTCATCTATATTTTGAGGTTTTTCTTCATTTTTGGGTGCCACTATACCTACAACACTACATAAATAAATGAAAATAAGCTGTTGTTTTGAAGGGAATATCTGTAGGCAATACACATCATAATGATATATATATAAATCATTAAAGAAAGGTAAATACAGTGTTCAAATAAAGGACATAATAATACATCGTGTAGCATAGCTCTCAACGAATGTAGTCCTGTAAATAAATTAAGAAATTGTGTAATAAAATCCTCTAGCAAGACTCAAACCTGCGACCTCTCGCTGTCAAGGTGAGCGTCATAACCATTAGACCA